ACCCTTCACCACCACCCTCCACCACCACCACAATCGTCCATACACCACCACCGTACACTACCACCATTAATTTATATAGCAGCCTACAGACATTAAAAAACAAACAGTCCTCTTCTTGCAGACCGTAGACCTTCGGTCCACCACTTCTCTTGCAGATGTCTACAGTAGTGGTCCGCAGACTGCAGACCTTTTCCTACAGAAAAAACAAACACCCCCTAAGTGAGGATTAAAAAAGATGCCCAGAAAAAATGAGAGAGATCATTCATCACAATGGTTCCTAAACAGACCAGGTCGGTATCCCCCTTCTAAGGGAAGACTTGAACGGGCAATGGGCCCAGGCCATTGACCTGAGAGGGTAAGCTAGAAAAGGGCCATTAAAGAACTTAATCACCCGGAAGAGGGGGTCGTGTAAGAAGGGTGCATTTTGATCTTTAGAGGAGGCTTTAAGCCATTCGACATGGTTGAAATCTCTAGAATTCTGAACGAATCATAACACTTTGGAAAGTTACTAGGTTACGGGTGCGCTCACTTACAACCTAATTTAAAAAATATACCCAGTTCGGTATGTATACCGTGGCCCTCAAATCAAAAGGGAAACCGATATGAAACAACGATTTATCCAACCGGGTTGGCTAACCATCATTCATCGGTTCTACAGGGTTACCGGTCCGAAACGATGTGGAAAGATAAATGATAAGTAAAAACCTATCTTATACCCGGGTGAAGTAAAAAGACTAGAATTTTCAAGTTGGGAAGATTAAATCAAGCACATTTTAGAGATCTGTCGGGAGGAAAGAATGCATTCATGGCAAAACATGCATAAAGAATATATAGCCGGGATGTAACACCACAACCCGCGTAACCCGAATAAATAGGTTAGTGAGCCGGGTTGTTACTAAATTGGTATCCACATACAATATTTTCTAATAAATTAAGCATTTAATTTAAAACTCAAACAACTTAAAATAATTTAAATACATATCGGAGTTTATACAAACAGTGCGGAAGCCTTATAACTTAATTAAATATCAACTTTACTACATCCCTGCATCCATGCATCTCCTTCGTCATGCTGCTCTCCGGGATGGATTCTAGAATCAATCTTTCACAAGCACCTACGTTGTATCTAACCGTTCGAACATACACATAGGCGAATCCACTAATTCAAAATTATCACATTATATCATGCACACAACATCTTTGGCAACAATCATACGGCATATAAGATTTAACATGCACAATCGACGTCATAACAGTTCATAAGATACAAACAACAACGGTATATATATTAGGAACTTTCCTTTTAGTTTACGTTACTTTCCTTATCGTACTTGGCTCTTTACATATGCTAGGTTAAAGCTTAACTGAATTCGACTTGCCTATGGAGTCATGACTTTCCCCTTTGGAACGAAGGTCAAGCTCAAACCAACTCGGAAGTTCCTCGTTGGGTGGGTGAGATCTATGTCCCCTTCGGAACGACAATTCTTAGATCCTCGTGTACACGTTTTTACCCGAACAGCCATTGGACCCAGCAGGTAGCACATGGCTCTAACTACTATACTTATGGCATACCGGTGATATATCAAACATTCATTAATCAATATATCAATACATAATACAACATCCACAAATCCACAATTCATTTAACCAGATATCCAACATAATCAAATAGCAGCCTAACACTGGTGTAGACACCCATGTTTACCATCATGCAACACACAAAGTCTCGGAATCAATCCTTGACGAAAACACAGATCGACAAACCCAGCATCAGGTACTAGACGGTACCTATCACGGTACAGGGTACCGGTCCTACGATACCGGGGGTACCGTCCAACAGGGGCGGACCCAGAACATTTATACCATGGGGTCGCAATTCAGAAAATTTATATCCAACCATCACGCTTCTAACAGTAAATAAACAATATTCTATAATACATAACATTAAAGTTTATATATATTATTGAAAATACTAATTAAAAATAGTTCTACATTGCAAATGTGAAATACATAAAAACATTATATTGAAATTTAAATAATTAAAAACGTTATAAACTTAATTCATAAGTACATAAGACCATAGGTACATAACCTAATTATATTAACATATTCACGAATCAGAATCTTATAAAATAAATAAACGAATTCAATTCATTATTCTCCTATTCATAATAACAAATTTATAACAATTAATTAAAATTTTCACAATTTACAAATAAAAAAGAAATATCCAATTTAGATAATTAGATTCAATTGTGTACGAGAAAAAACCTGGCAAAGATTGGGGGTGCTCGTCGGTTCTACCTTCCAAGCGGAGGTCGGGGGTCCCGTGGAGATTTGTAGTGGGCCGTCGGTGAGAGAGGATGGGTGAGTCTCAACTTCTGATTTTGCAATTAGGTCTGGGAAAGTGCAAAGTGGGATGGGTGGAACTATAGGTTTAAGAGGAAATCCAAAAAAAAGAAACAAAACAACACCGTGTTGTATAGTAACCCTACAGCTGGATTCGAACACAGGACCGCTCACCCGAATGAAAACCACGAATCTTTCCACTCCTTCAGCGCCGCCAAGTTGAAACTAGTAGAATTTTGTAGGATATATACTAAAAAAATTTAAAATTTCTGTGGGGTCGCTTGACCCCGTGTTACCTAATGTGGGTCCGCCCTTGCCGTCCAAACCAATTGGACTCAGCTAGGCCTGTCACGGTAGCCACTACCGACCCAGCGGTAGGGCCTACCGTCTGTCCGGTACCTAGGTACCGAACGGTCACAGCTACTGGCAGAGGGAACACAAGCAAACAGAGTGTGATGGTAGCACGGTACCATCCTGGCGGTACCGCCTACCGTTTGACAAAACAAAATTCATATTCATACATGTTTCATTTTCAGCTTTAAACCAATAGAAATCTCATAAAACAAACACCAATAGGTTCATATTAACATCTTAAACATTACAAGCATATTAATTCATCGATCAACGCCTAAGTCGTGCGTACTACCCTTTTGATTCAAAGACAACAATTCCTGAAACCACAATCAATATTTATTAGGGGTGGGCACGGATCGGGACGGTCCGGGTTTGAGGTTGTCCCACGTCTTGTCCCGTTATATATAAACGGTCCGGAACGGTTCGGATTACAACCTTATCCCGGTTTGTCCCATAAAATTCGGGATCAGAATAAATCGGGACGGATTTGGGTCATCCCACTTTGTCCTAATCGCAAATATAAGAAGGGGTAGATGGTGTCATTTCATTCAAAAAAAGAAACATCTAGCCATCCAACAAAAAACAATGAGTTGAACGGGTCCAAATAAATTTCAAGCCTATGAAGTTAATTTAATTAAATAACTAATTAATTAAAGAATGAGTGTATTTGGATTTTTGGACTAGAATTAGTATTATATATTAGTAGAATAGATGAAACGGGACGGATCGGTATAAATTTAAGCTGTCCCGCTCATGTCTCATTTGATATTGGGACGGAACGGGTTTGGGACAAAAGAAATGTGTCCTAATATATCGGTATAATTACAAAACGGATCCGGGATTTTTCGGAACGGTCCAACGAGAACGGATTTCACGCCCACCCCTAATATTTATACACATTAAATCACACAGATCAACCAAGATAACAACTATGAATGGAATTTCAAACATATATGCATATTCTAGTGTTAGATTTCCACGTACTCACCTCGATTCGTTTCGATTTGACCGAATGAAGAACATTGTTCGAATTCCATCATTGGGACAGATTCACCTCGTTGCCCGAACAGGTACGGCTGTCTAGATTACAACCGCTTCCTGGAGCCGTTGCCGGTCTGTCGCCCGATTGCTCTATTGTCGGGAGGGAGTCACCGTGTCACTAGAGGCTGTTCGCCGGAACACCATCGTCGATGGCCGGTCAACCCTCTTCAATACCCTGGGCGCCGCTAGAGGTCGACGGAAATTGGAGGGGATTGCCGGAGACGTCACCCGTACCCTCTGCCGCCGCTGTAGATTCGCCGGAGTGCACCGCTGCTCACCCCGCTGTCGGATCGCTCATCACCGTCGGAGAGCTGCTCAACGACGCTCTGCCATCCTCGACACCAGAGTTGCGGATGGAGTTGCTTGCGCCGGTCGCTGGTTGGAATAACACGTTTCGGGGCCATATTGAGCAAGACGAAATTTCCAAAAGCTTTAATGTTGGGGAAATGAATTGGTATTGGGTAAGAGTTGTTTATAAACTTAAAATTTGAATAGCTTCCAGAGGAGAAAGTAATGATGATTTCACATTGTGATATCTTAGGCAATAAATATTCTTGATTAAAGTGAAAGGAAAACTCTCAAAATACGTATCCCAGGATCAATGTGTTCACGGGAACCAAAAAAGTAACAAATCTAATTAAATCATTCAAGATCCGTTAGCCTAATCGGATCGGTATTCCCCTTTGCCCAACGCGATACCCGAACTGAATACCCAATCCATACTTGACAAATTTAGGCACAAAATTGGGGTGATTTCCCTTCATGTGTAAGTTTGTTGTTTTGTATTCCATTATATATAACTTTAGTATATACTTTCCCAAATAAAGCAAAGCGGATTAGCTGACTCCGTTTCATCTGAAGAATCCACCAGAAACGGAGTAGCCAACTCCGTTCCAATGATTTAAATAGAGAAACGGAGTAGCCAACTCCGTTCCAATGATTTAAATAGAAAAACGGAGTAACTAACTCCGTTCCAATTAATTAAATGTTTAAACGAAGTATCCAACTCCGTTCCTTGTATTTTTTTAATTTTTTTAAAAATGAATTATTTTAGTTTTATTTCATATATTTGAAAAACTTAAAAAATTATTGACATATAATGAAACAAATAATCTACTAACAACAAATTCATAAAGTAAATAAATATTTATTGACTAATAATGCATCATACACTGAATTACAAATAAGAAGTAAATTAAAACAAATTTATTGATAGAGTACATAAAATTTATCCATAAAATTTAGGATACAAAACACATGACATAACTAATTTATTTTTTTAAAATCAGAAAACATAAACTTGAACATTTGAAATCCATGATATAGTTATTGTTCATTGTGACGTCGTCGTGGTCGATAGTCCTTGTTATTTGGGTAGCGAGTTCTTGTTGGTCAACCGGTTTGTGTTCTCGCTCGTGCAGTTGGTCTCACAATCTCGTATCCTGGAGTAGGCCAGTCATCATCGGGAAGCGGCATTAGGATGCCTGAATAAGCATTGATGTAGAACTGGAGTGAAAAAAAATTAGGAATCAAATGATCCACAGTGACACTACACTGATGACATACTGCGTGAACGTGAATGCACGGAATGTGATATATTACCCAATATCCACAAGTACATGTCCGTGCATTTAAATTCACCGCAAATTTCTCGCGGTGACCATTGTTGAAGGACCCATCCACAACCACAGAGTATATCCCATGTTGTGCGTGGTGCTGCACAACACGACAATAAAGCCTATTTTCTTCATTGTGCTTGATCTTTTTCCACACATTTATTGGAAAATTATACCCAGATTGTTGCCACAAATATCCATTAGTTCGCCTATCAGCAAATAGCTTGACCAATTTGTCATACGTGAACCTCACAATGGCAAAGACGGGTAAACAACGACATCCCTTAAGGACATGATTGAAGCTTTCAGACGAATTTGTTGTTGTTATACCATAGCGTCCGCCACCTTCATCATGCGACAATGCCCACATGTGTTTTGGAATAGCCATAAGCCAGTTGTAGGCTTCTTGATTTTTGGACGCTATCTCGAGAAGCGTCTGCTCAAACTCACTTCTGCTAGGGGTCTTGCCAGCTTTATACATCATGTTTTTAAGTTTCTTACTCCGAAACTTGTTATGGAAATTGCTTCGCACATGGCGGAGACAAAATCTTCGAGTGACATGACCTCCCAGCAGTTCTGGAACATTATTGAATGCGTGATCAATACCACTGTGTCTATAAGATATTATGCATATATGGCGGTGTGGAGGTACGACATGTCGCATGATATTTGTCATGAACCACTTCCAACTTTCGCCATCTTCAACATCCACAATGGAGAAAGCCAAGGGAAAAATCTCACCATTTCCCGTCATTGCCACGGCAATTAATAAAGTTCCCTTATACTTTCCGTATAAGTGAGTTCCGTCCACTGAAACATCTGGAAGACAGTAGTGGAAGTCATCAATGGATGCCTTGAAAGACCAAAAAACATACCTGAACTGAAATGTAGTCGGTGCATTCGTAGGTAGAGTTTGCAAATCCATAACTGTCCCCTGGTTTGATCCCATTATTGCACCGAGCAAATGAGCCAGCTTGTTGTATGAGTCCTCCCAACTACTGTACAATCGCTGAATGGCCAATGACTTTGCACACCATGCCTTCTTATAGGAGACAGATACTTGGAACAACTCATAAACATCCCTCATTATGAGTTTGACTTTATAATCGGCATCTTCTTCAATTTTAGGACCAATCAGGGCACTAATGAGTTCACTAGTTAACAATTTGTTGTCTTTAGCTCGCGTGTAATCCGGCCTACACTGGTGATACCCCTGATATTGCTTTATGGTCCATATACTACACCCAGCATTCTCTGCTGCTTGTATGAACCAAGTGCATTGCGGGGCATATACACAACGTGCTTTCTAATATCGGCTCCGTTTCCCCTTCTGTGTGAAAGTGTCTATGCTCCGCAATGTTCCGTAATGACACAGCTTGTTGTAGACTTTGGAAAGAAGGATACCTGTTTCCGACCTCAATATTTGGGATGTGGAACGTTGGCCTCAACGACATATTTGGTACGTGACTTTGCCGGTCATGTAACTGTGGCATTGCACGAATGTCCTGTCCATCTTCTCGTTCATCTGCAGATATGTCCTCTTCCTCTTCGGAAGATTCTTCATCTTCCGCTGAGGGTGCAATATACTCAGCATCATCTGGATCGCTATCAACATGTTGAGCGAAATGGGATGAAGAGGGCTGCTCCAATTGATGGTGGAAGAACGGATTACCATCCGTTTCCTCCTCAACATTTTTAGACACCCCGATGAATACTTCAACTACATCGTATTCATGTGATGCTTTCCGTATAAAATGCCTCCATGTTGGTTCATCGTTGATTGGGAGAGGTCATGAACCAACATAAACCCCAGATTGATGTCTGGGGAATATACCATAGACGGATTCCACGCCTTGGAATCCATCTTCAAGAACATCACTAGTAATTTGACCAAGAAAGGTGTCGTAGGAGATATCAGAATTAAACAACAAAGACTTCTTCGGAAGCTCAGAGTATTGAACTTCACTATTAAGGGTTTGTATCTCACCATTCCAATGAGCTACAAGAAGTATAGTATTCTCTTGTGACATTGTTGATTTTGGTGTGTAGAGTAATGGTGATGGTGTATTCGAAATGAAGAAGGTAGTGGTATTTATAATATGTAGAGTGATGTTAGTTGAGAGTGAGGTTAGTTGGGGGTGTGTGTATTTGGGTAGTTGTGAGGTGGGTGAATATTATTATAGTGGGTAGGTGGGAGTGAGTATTATTTATTTAGGTGGGTGTGATTATTATTGTCGGGTAGGTGGGAGTGGGTATTATTTATTTAGGTGGGTGTGATTATTATTGTCAGATTTCAACATAACACCGTGAAAAAATAAGTTATCAAACCAAATATTTCAACATAAACAAATATCTCAACAAATGCTTTTGAATCTCAAAACATTAAGTACCCAGCACAATATATTAAATGTAAAAAAATACTAAAGATAGTGGCTACCAGTACCACAACGTGGACGACGTCGATTACGTCGTGGACGAAGACCCTGCTCTCCTTCACCCTCCACTTCTACGTCATCAACTGTCTGCTGGATTACCGGCGGTGTAATAGTGGAGACAAAATGTCCAAACTCATTTGTGAGCTGACTTTCCTGAGTAAAGAAATCGCCCCTAAACACATCTCCATCAAACGTCACTGGTGATACATCGTGCATGCGCCTCGGAGGATGCTCTATGTGGAATTCAGGAGGATGTGAACTCGACGGCTCAACCATGCAAGAAGGTGTATGTGTGTCGCTCTGAATATGTTCTTCGTCACCAACATCTTCATCATCATCATCCTGGGTCATAGGGGGGAGATTCAATGGGGATGTGTTCGTCTTCATCATCGACCTGCAACCTCCGACTACCCCGCCCTCCACGTCTGACTCCGACAGCAGGTGCATCACGCCTTCTATCTACCCGTCTCCTGATATGTCCTAGGTTGTAAGCATGCTGATCCTGTGGGTGATCAAGGATAGATGCATGCCCAAGAGCACGAACACACTCTGTTAACAACTCATGAACTCTCAATACCTCGTGTGAAGGTACAAACCCATCTGGATGCCTACCAAGATCAAGGCGTTGACTGCAATCCGCCATATAGTATAACTACATACAACATTTTTGATTAGTTTAAAAAAATTAAATTTAGAAATATGTACATTAAGAATACTTACTGCAGTCTATAGCTCTGGAGAAATGGGGATGTACCCTGGTCGGTGCTGATGGGCAGGGTTCCCTATCTGTCGTCGACCCCGAAGGTAGTACCACTGACGATACTCCGGTGTGGCATCCACGTAGGGTTTGACGTAGACCTGACATCGTAGTATTGCAGGGAGGGTGTAGAGATTTATTACAGAGAGTGGTAGCGGTTAAACGTATTGTGAACTGATAATTTGGTGTAGTTGACGGTCATAAACAACAACTTCAGGGATGTGTTGCAGGGCACCAAACTGCCTGCAAAAGCGATCGGGATAGTACATCTCCACAACGTAGTTATAGATCAAGGGGATTCTAGAAGTCCATATTCCGATTCCAGCAGAACAATAGGGTGGTAGGGTATGGACATTCGGATACGGCAACCATACAAGCTGCATGCATAAACAACTAGTAATATACACATTCAAACTAAACTATATATGTATAACATTATGATATTATGAATACTAACCTCTCCCTCGAGCAATCTGTCAAGCTGGTCCCTGTATGCTCGTATGGAGTGCGTGGTACAATCTGACCATCGATGGTAACACACCCATCTGCAAGCGAATGATTATGCACAACCATGAATGAAATATAGAATATGATTTTATAATATACATAAATAAACTACAAATACCTGACTCCATATGGGACATCTACTAGCTGATCAAATGGTATAACCCCTCTAGGTCTAGTCATAGGCAGACGCTCCCAAGCCCAAATCTGTAACAAGACTAGACAACCTCCAATCTGTGTTGCACTCGTCGCACTAACACGACACATACTGCGATACAAGTAACTGAGTACTGCCGAACCAATCACACGACCTCGCACAGTGTTTGCGTCACCCATGATTATCTCTAAAAGATACAAACTAACTATAATGCCCCGAAATCTGGCCCAAAAGAATTAATTAAATTGTTAGAGCAATTGATTACGAATTGGGCCCAAAAAGGGGTTAAAATTATAATTTGGATTCTAAGCCCAACTTTTATGTCATCTCGTAGGAAATATTTTTGTGATTGCGTCGGTTCAGACGGCTCGCGAATCGGAGTTTTGGAGCTCATGTTATGACCATTTAATCAGGTATTTTGGGTCCGAAGCCCAATCCTTTTAGGAATGGGATCATTAAATAAAACCTAAACCTATCTTCTTTCGTTCGGATCTGCGAGAACCGCACATCGTCATCTTCTTCTTCTTCATTTTCGGTCGTCCTTCCCCAGCCATCGCCGCAGCCTCTCCCTCGCCGGAAGTCCGTCGCCCACTGCCAGGGTTAGCGCCGCCGCCGACGGTTTCCAATCGCCGCTGCTTCCTTCGCTAGAGGTCCGCCGCCAGGTCCAGCGCCGCCGACCACGGTTCCCAATCTTCGAGCCGCGGTCGTCGCCTCCACTGCCAGCGTCGGTCGTCCTCGCCATCGAGCTGCAGCGCCGCTGTTTCGCCTTCGCCGGAAGTCCGCCGCTCATCACCGTCGAGCGCCGCCAGTCGTCGTCGCCCTTAGCTCAGGCCAGTTTCTTCTTCTTCTTCAGTTTCTTATTTCGGTTTGTCTCTATCCCCTCGATTTTGAACAAGGTAGACCACCAATAGCTGCCGCTCCGCCACTGTACGCCGGCATCCGCCACCGTCGCCGCACCCAGCCGCTGCCCTGGGTTGATACCGCCGGCAGATTTATCTCCACGTTAGATTGATTGGTCGATTTCGTGTTTTGACTCAATTTGACCCGTTGTTCGTTGGATTTCGTTGATTTGTCTTCCGTTCGAGCTATCGATTCGATTTCGGCGTAATCCAGGTCCGTACTATGAAGTTAATAGCGTTTAGAATAGATTTAATGGTTTGGATCGTTATATATGTTTATGCTATAATTTGGCTAAATTGATTATTTGAATTGAATTGTTGAGGATTGTGAATTGACTGAACAGGTTTGAGTTTGACTTGGGTTAGGTCACGTTTGACTTAGGCTTTGACTGGATATTCTGTTGACGTAGGTTTGACCGAATGGTTAAATCCAAGACGTTATTGAATTAATTAAGTTAATTAATTAATTCTAATCAGTAATTAGGATCAATTGGTTTATTATGTTGAACATAGAAACTGGCCATTGCCCGGGCGGCTGCAGGGCCTGGTCAGTGAGGTTAAGACGTGCGCACGAGGGTCTGTGATCTTGGGTTTGAGGCTATCGCCCGAGGGATCCTACCTCCACCGAATTGAGGCTATCTTCGGTATTACGGATTGAGGCTATCTCCGTCATAGGCAATAAATGTTAAGTGGTTTGACTTTCGTGAAGGTCTAAACTGGTTTGACCGGTGGTCAAAGAGTTAATGAGAAACCCTTAACACCTAAATCGTTTTGAAAAGAAAGAAAATAAGTTGACTGTTGGTCAACCGTCTAAAGGACCGAATGTAAAGTTCAATTGATTTTTATTAAAAGGATAAACATATGCGCGATCTTAATTGTTGAATTATTATGTTTATTCTTGTGCTACAATGGAGTGCCACTCAGCGTCAATGCTGAGCGGATAGCGTTGTTTTCCTTTTTGCTGTCCGTAGGTGATCAGACATATGAACCTAGAGCCGATCCCAGAGGGCATTGAGGAGGAGATGTATGATGGCGTGGCTATCTCTTTGATCTGTAGTTATGCTTTATTTAATTAACTTTAATGCTTATTAAGTTTTCGGGAAAGATCCCAAGTTGTTTGACTTTAAAAAGGCTTCCGCATTATTTTAAATTACTCCGATGGATTTTTATATGTATTGATAGAACGTTTGTTTAAAATTGTTTTGAAAATGTTGTATATTCGGATACCAATCCAGTGGCACACCGGTCCGCTATCTCACGGGTTTGGGTTATGCGGGTTGGGGTGTTACATTTTGGTATCGGAGCATTTGGTTTTAAAATCGGTCTTTGGACCCTTTCAAAATAAAATACAATGAATAATTCAGCCACATCTGCATCTCACGTAACTCCTCTGCCCCGGGAAGGTAATAAGTATTTATAGCTTTATCTGTTATATGTTAAGGTCTGACTTGGGAATTTCCTTATTATTTTAGAATGAGTCAAGAATCGACCCATGGTCGGTACGTTCCGGAGCCGGAGCACGTGAGCGTGCACACGGTGAACACCGAGGGTTTGAGTTTCACACCTCCGGGTGACGGAGGGCAGCAACAGAATAAACCTAAGCCAGCGGGACAGCCGCCAGTTGTACCACCCCCAGTCATACCACCTCCAGTGATACCACCGTTGGTGATGCCGCAGGTGGCCTACGAGCAGATGTTCCCGGCCATGATGGCCCATTATATGCAGCACATGGCGCAGCTTATGCCCATGTTCCAGCCACCGCCACCACCACAGCCGCAGCCGCGCATCGTTACCTTCAAGACATTGAAGGATAATGGAGCAGAAGAGTTTCGAGGAGACAAGATGTGGGAGCCCCAGGTTGCGTTGGATTGGCTTGAGCAGATGGACCGGGTACTCAAGAATTTGAGAGTCCCTGATGCTGATCGCCCGGAGTTGGCGTCACAGATGTTCCGGAAGGGAGCATATGATTGGTGGAAGCGCATTGACCAGGATCCACACACGCCCAAGCCTTGGACCTGGGATCGCTTTGATCGAGCTTTCACTAAGGAGTACGTCCCCACCCGGTACCGCGAGGAGAGGCGCGATGAGTTCGTTGCGCTTAAGCAGGAGGGGATGTCACTGCCTGAACTGAGACAGAAGTTCGACTACCTGTCCGAGTATGCGACAAGTCTGGTCTCCACTCCGGAGGATCGTTTGAATGAGTTCGTTAAGAAGCTACAGCCGGACTTGAGGCCGTATGCCGCGCTGATCACGACGACAAATTTTAATGCGGCGTATGATTTGATTGTGAAGACGGAAAAGAGCTTGGACGATTTGCAGGCAACCAAGAAGGAGGATCGAGCGACGAAAGACCCGCGACCCGCGGCCAGCACCGGACCGAGCGGGAAGAGTTTTGGATTCGGGGGAAAGAGGTACGAGAAGGGTTCTTCGAGTGCGCCGCCGCCTAAGAGGAGTAAGTCGAGGTCGTCTCCGTCAGTCGCCGCTAGCAACGCGATCAGAACGAAGAGCCACCCGTAGTGTGTACAGTGTGGTAGGCATCACCCGGGCGAGTGTTGGCTCGCCCAAGGCTTATGTTTGGGTTGTGGTCAGCCAGAGCATTTCAAGAGGCATTGCCCGACAAACCCTAGCAGCGAGCCTATTTTTCCTAGAGCTCCGGATCAGCCTGCCACATCGCATCCAGCACGGAGTCAGCGGTCTACAGCCGCAAATAATCAGCAGAGACCACGTCCGCAGCAGTCAGGCTGGGCACCAGCGCATACCTACGCCATGCAGGGGCGCACAGATCCTAGTCCCGATGTTATCTTGGGTACGTTCATACTATTTGATTCGGTTATGCATGCCTTGATCGATCCGGGTTCTACGCTCTCCTATATCTGTGTTGGCATGCCTGCTAATTCTGCGATCGTGAGGAGTGACCTTGAGATACCTACCGTTGTATCGAATCCGTTATGACATAGCATGCGTCTTCATCACATTTATCATAGGTGTCCGTTGTCCGTGCAAGGGAAGCAATTCCCTGCAGATTTGATAGAGCTACCACACAAGGAGTTTGACATTATCCTTGGTATGGATTGGCTCACCAAGCATAGAGCAGTGGTCGACTGCAGTTGTCGGACCGTACGGCTGAGAGCCGAGGACGGTAGCAACGTATCACTCTCCGGGGAGGTGTTCCCCAAGGCTCCCGAGTTCATATCGTCCTTGAGCGCGAGGCGCTTGATTCGCAAGAAGTGCGAGATGTTCCTGTGTCACGTTCAGGATATGTGAAAAGAATCACCACGTCAGCAGGACATTCGTACGGTTTGCGACTTCCCCGACGTCTTTCCCAAAGACCTTCTTGGTTTGCCTCCGCTGAGAGAGGTAGAGTTCTCGATCAATCTCATTCCGGGTACGGAACCCATATCTGCTACACCGTATCGTATAGCACCTGCCGAGATGAAGGAGTTGAAGGCTCAGTTGCAAGAGCTACTGGAAAAGGGATTCATCCGACCTAGCGTTTCCCCATGGGGAGCACCGGTGTTATTTGTTCGAAAGAAGTATGGATCCATGAGACTTTGCATCGACTATAGGCAGTTGAACAAAGCCACAGTGAAGAATCGTTATCCGTTGCCTCGCATCGACGACCTGTTCGACCAGCTCAGAGGAGCTACAGTATTCTCGAAGATCGATCTGCGTTCTGGATACCATCAGATTCCCGTTAAGAGAGAAGACATTCCGAAGACTGCTTTTAGGACACGCTATGGGCATTATGAGTTCTCAGTCATGCCTTTCGGATTGACTAATGCCCCGGCAGTGTTCATGGAGCTTATGAACAGTGTGTTCCGACCATACTTGGACCAGTTCGTAGTAGTGTTCATCGATGACATCTTGGTTTATTCACGGACTC